CAAATGGACTGGAAGTACATCTCAAGTGGTAGAGCACCTGCTTTAAAAACAAAGTCCTGAGATCAAACCCAGACCCACAAAAAAAAAAAAAAAAAGAAGGTAAACAAAATGATTTTTCTTTGAAGCCACTAGATTTTGAAAAACAAATGAAACAGAATTTTGCACCTGGAAATGAGACAATACTATAACTAACCCTAAATTGCACAGCATTTGTTATGGAACCAGGTAGCAGTCCGGATCTAAAGGAACTCTATAAGTGAAAGTCTATAATAAAGTGAAAGGACAAAAAAGCACATTGGAGCGTAGAAAATGAGTGGGTTTTACTATGTAATAGTGAGATTCTGCAGTAATGTGGAAGATAGAAAATGTTCCTTTTGGGCTCAATGACCAGTGTCAGGAGATTGTTGACTGAATGTTAAAGCTAAACGTGCCTATTGTGAAAAAACAGGACAGAAAAGGGTGAAATAAATAGCTCACTTGATTGAAATTTTTAGTAGAATTTTGATGAAATGGTAAGATATCAGGAAAATTTTTCAAGCTGGAAAATTTTTCAAGCCAGAAAATATTTGCAAAGAGAGTTAAAGTTACAGGAAAACAAAAAATGCAGGTCACTATCAGGTTTTGTCTTAGCGTGAAGATGAAGTCAAGTTTGTAACTATAAACAGCTTCTTCAGACCTTAGAAAGATTTAAACTAATGCTTCACAGGACCGTTAGATAGAGACAGAAGGTTTTAGGATTTCAGATTATGCCCCACAGGCGCCTATCTGCTAAATGAAAAGGCTTCCAAGAACCTTCTGGGCATTTTCCCACTGCAGCTTGATCAAATGCCCACGTGGTAGGTAAGATGATTTAAGATAGTATCTTCAATCTAGTGAAGATGGATTTTTTAATGTGAGATATAAGCCCCCATACCTTTTATGTGGATTATAGAGATGGACGTAAAAAGGGGTTGAAGACAAAACTTCCATCCTCAAAACTCGAATTTGTACAGGAAATAAGAAAACTTTCCAGTTGAAAACAGCCTATTTCTTAATTTTTTTTTTCCATAACAAATGAATTCAAGAATGAACTTAAGAATTTAGGGAACAAGGTAACAGCCATGGAAAATCAATCCCCATAAGCAGGTTTTAAGCCTTATTCAAGGATCTCGTAACATGTGCTCAGCAGTTTTCAGAGGTTGCTATGGCAGAAATGACTTGGTATCCTGTGCATGATGGGTATGCATTTGTGTCTCTATGTGCATTTAATAGGACCATACATTATTTAACACTTTTTCCAAATCAAGAAGTTATAGTCCATTATCAGTGTTTCACCATTTGAATGCTATCAAGTATCTTTCAGTCAATGTCTGTGGGAAGAATAACATCACAAAAGGCTGGCCTTTGCTAGAATTCTGAATGACAAATCATAAGATATTACAAAATTAGGCAATGTCTAAGCCACTAAGTTTGTGAGAGTTTTTATTTATACAGCAATACATAAGTAAAGTGGTGGGCATTACATTATTTGAAGTTTGGGGCTGAATATTCTGGTAAACATTTTTGTATTTGACTCCAGATTATATTTCTGCAATAATTTTCCTTTTTTTTTTTTCATTTTTCTTTTATTATTCATATGTGCATACAAGGCTTGGTCATTTCTCCCCCTGCCCCCACCCCCTCCCTTACCACCCACTCCCCCCTCCCTCTCCCCCCCTCAATACCCAGCAGAAACTATTTTGCCCTTATCTCTAATTTTGTTGTAGAGAGAGTATAAGCAATAATAGGAAGGAACAAGGGTTTTTGCTGGTTGAGATAAGGATAGCTATACAGGGCATTGACTCACATTGATTTCCTGTGCGTGGGTGTTACCTTCTAGGTTAATTCTTTTTGATCTAACCTTTTCTCTAGTTCCTGGTCCCCTTTTCCTATTGGCCTCAGTTGCTTTAAGGTATCTGCTTTAGTTTCTCTGCGTTAAGGGCAACAAATGCTAGCTAGTTTTTTAGGTGTCTTACCTATCCTCACCCCTCCCTTGTGTGCTCTCGCTTTTATCATGTGCTCATAGTCCAATCCCCTTGTTGTGTTTGCCCTTGATCTAATGTCCACATATGAGGGAGAACATACGATTTTTGGTCTTTTGAGCCAGGCTAACCTCACTCAGAATGATGTTCTCCAATTCCATCCATTTACCAGCGAATGATAACATTTCGTTCTTCTTCATGGCTGCATAAAATTCCATTGTGTATAGATACCACATTTTCTTAATCCATTCGTCAGTGCTGGGGCATCTTGGCTGTTTCCATAACTTGGCTATTGTGAATAGTGCCGCAATAAACATGGATGTGCAGGTGCCTCTGGAGTAACAGTCTTTTGGGTATATCCCCAAGAGTGGTATTGCTGGATCAAATGGTAGATCGATGTCCAGCTTTTTAAGTAGCCTCCAAATTTTTTTCCAGAGTGGTTGTACTAGTCTACATTCCCACCAACAGTGTAAGAGGGTTCCTTTTTCCCCCGCATCCTCGTGTTGGCTCATTTCTTGTTAGGGCTAAGTGATATGCCTTTGTCTGAATGTACTACAGTTCCCACTGAAGGACATCTTAGGTGCATCTGAATTGGGCAATTAAATGAAGCTGCTATATGCAGGTTTTTGTATGGGTATAAGTTTTCAGCTCCTAAATACAAACGAGCACAACAGATGAATCATATGGTAAGAACAAGTTTAGTTTTGTAAGAAGCCCCCAAACTTTGCTATAGAGGCTGTTTATATTCCTATCAGCAATAAGTTAGAGTGCTTGCTCTTCTATATCCTCTTTATTATTTGCAGTTGTCTGGTTTTTGGAATATCCCCGTTTAAGTAGGCAGCAGAGGATCTCATTTTAATTTGCATTTCTGGAACGGGGGAGGAGGGAGGTAGCCCGAACAATGTATACACATGTAAGTAAATGTAAAAATTATAAAATAAAAGAAAGAATAAAAGAAAATAAATTTTAAAAATTAATTTGCATTTCTCTGATGACAAGTGATGTGTGTTTTATATGCCTATTATCGTCCATACATTTTTTTCTTTTGAGCTTGCTCTACCACTTGAGCCACTCCACCAGCACCTTAGCTTTTATAAATCTTTTTTAAATTTTTTTAATTTTTGGTGGGACTGGGGTTTGAACTCAGTGCTTCATGCTTACAAAAGCAGATGCTCTATAGCTTCAGCCATGCCTCCAGCCTGCTATAATCACTTTTTTAAAAAAAATTTGGATTTTACCGTGATAATTCCATACATGCATACAGTGTACTTTGAATAAGTCAACTCCTTCACCATATTTCCATTTCTCTTCTCCTCCTTTCAGACAGTGTTTGGTGGGTTTCCTTATGCTGTCTTCATAGGTATCTATGTAGTGTACTTCCACCCTCTTTATCCCTCAGTATCCTATCCTCCCCTCAAACTCCCCTGCATGTTCTCCCCCCACACACTCCCCTACAATCACTTATTAATTGCAGGTTGACGACAAAAGTTTTTGTCTCCTTTATTCGCCACTACCTTAACCTCAATTCAACATTTGCAAATCTGTGTTTATTACAGTCTCACCTCAATTTAGCATTTACAAATGTGTAGTATTTACTTCAGTGTATAGCTGGCAATGTTGTTACCAAAAATGGCCATGCTTTTTAAAAATACTCCAATTCTTGGTGGAGTGCTTGCCTAGCAAGCATGAACCCTTGAGTTCAATCCTCAGTACTGCAAAAAAATAAAAATAAGCTATGTGCCACTGGCTCACACCTATAATTCTACCTACTTGAGAGGCTGAGATCAGGAAGATCAGTGTTTGAGACCACCCTGGACAAATAGTTCAAGAAACCCCCATTTCCGAAATAACCAGAGCAAAATGGACTGGAGGTGTGGCTCAAGCGGTAGAGTGCCTGATGTGCAAGCATAAAGTCCTGAGTTCAAACTCCAGTCCCACTGAAAAAGAAAAAAATACAATTCTTTTCAACTCTTTTGAACTGAGTTCAGTGAAGTGGAATTTTATAGTAGGAGGATAGTGACCATCATTAGAAAATGTTTAAGTATGTATTATGTTCTTGCTGAGGATACCCTAAGGTGGAATAAGTTCAAGATTGATACATTCTTTCCAAACATAATTTAATTGATTGTACTCTTTGATCAAATTTTTGCTCTGGTCCTTGGAAAGAATGTATTAGAAAAATAGGTTGTTCCAGAAACATGAAGCTTTTACTTTTTTTTAATAGACTATATTTTTCACAGAAGTTTTAGGTTCACAGCAGATAAATAGGTATAAAGATTTCTTATATGTCTCCCACCTCTTTATCAACATCACCCACCAGAGTGACCACCCAAAGCCCATAGTTTACATTAGGATTCACTCCTGGTGTATGTTTTATTTACTTGGACAAATGTATAACGACATTTGTCTACCATTATAATAAGAGCTTGCTTTTTGAAAAGCCTTGAATTTGTAATCTCATAATCTATAATAAACTAATTATTGTGTTGTTGCTTAAGGTAGGAGAATGCTTGATTTGTATTGTCAAGCTACAGATATTTATTGAATACCTGTTATATTACAGACTTTTATCATAGCTTCTCACAAAGCTAAATTACCTTATCCATTTTACTTTGGAGTAAATAATAGCAAGTTTCTTGATGTTTTGCCTCATGATATAACTTAAAGGGAATCAGAGTTATAGCGTGAGCTAATTTTGTGACTGTGAGCAAGTCGTTAACCTTTTATCTGATAAGTTAAAGGATTGTATTTTTTTATTTTGAAATTCTGGTTCTATTTTCTCTCTTTGAGTAAAAATGAAAGAAATTTGGACACCTGCAAAAAAATTTATGACTTATAAAAAAGTGACAAAACAGTTGAAAGATAAAGTTTTTTTTAACTAGCATATGTGTTAATAGTACAGTGGAGTCTCATTTTCATTCCGCAGATGTATACAGTATGCTTTGAACAGGTTTGCCCCTTCATTATGTTCCCTTAACACCCGTCCCCTTTCCTAACACATAGTTTTAACAGTTTTCCCTGAAAGTAAGTGTCCAGGCTGAGGCATTTGTCCTGTTTATCTTTAGGTGTAGCCCACCAATGTTATCATGGCTTCATGAAGGCTGTCCAAGAAGGAAACATTCAGTGGGAGAGCCGAACTTATCCTTATCCTGGAACCCCAATCACTCAGCGGTTCTCACACAGTAAGTATTGTATGAAAGCAGATCCCATCGTGTCTGTGTTCATGTTTCCAGAGACTGTTTTGGAGGCATGTATTTTGTCTGACTTTTTAAAGAAGAGAATGGAAAATGTGAGTTTATATTAAGTTTATAACCAGTATTAGGAAAGAGTGATCCTAAATATATTATAGGGGCTGAGGGTGTAGCTCAGTGGTAGAATGCTTGCCTTGGTGTGAGGGCCTGGGTTCAATGCCTGGCATTGGACAAAACAAATGGTGCTTTGCTAATAACATTAATAGTCTGGGTTTTTTTGTTTGATTTTTCTCTAAAGAGGTCATGATGTTCTTAGAATTTTAAACATTTGACATATCATTTGAGGGGGAAACCCATGAACGATATGCATTGAGAGTGTTTCTGAGATCCTGCTTAGGGCATAGCCAAGCTTTAGCACTAACTCTGAAGATAACTGTTTTAACATAGTATTTTATGTTCAGCAATATGGAATTTGGAGTCACAAACAGATTGAATGAAGGGTATTGATTATAAAATAAAAATTTGATTAGTAAAATTATAAATAAAGCATCCTGGTAAGTAAATGTGATTTAGAGCTGTTTATATCATTCTAGATTTAACTTTTTTTTTTTTTTTTAACAGGTCTGGGAGTTTGAACTTAGGGCCTCATGCTTACTAGGTAGGCCCTCTACCACTTGAGCCACACTCCCAGTCCTTTAACTCTTTATTTTAATTGATTTTTGTAGACACTATCTTACTACAGTAGTGATTCATATCCTTCCATCAAAAGTTAGATCAGGGCTGGGGATGTGGTTTAAGTGGTAAAATGCTTGCCTAGTAAGCACAAGGTCCCGAGTTAAAACTTCAGTACCACCAGAAACAAAAGTGACATCAAAGTATGGTATATTTTGCTCTTGGAGCCTGTGGAGGCCTACTGGGGATAGGCTTCTTAAGGGCAAATATGTCAGGAAGGCTATGGTGCAAGGCCATTTTTGCTGGAGTGGGGTATCTTCAAACAAAGGGAGCACACGACTGTTCTTAAAAATTGAAGATGTTTATCCCCATGATGAAACCAAATTCTACTTGAGCAAGAGATACGCTTATGTACATGAAAAAACAGTGACTCCTGGCAGCAAACTGAATAAACCCAGAGTAATGTGGGGAAAGGTAACTCATGCCCATGGAAACTGACATGTTCAGGCTAAACTCAAAAGCAACATTCCTGTTAAGGCCATTGGACACAGAATATGTACCCTTCAAGGTCTGAAACTATTGAAAAGTAAATTTGTCCTTTTTTTTTTGGGTGAGACTGGAGTTTGAACTCCAGGATTTGAGTTTGCAAAGCAGATGCTCTACTGCTTGAGCCACACCTCCAGTCCATTTTGCTGTGGTTATTTTGGAGATGGGGGGGAGGGGCGGGTCCCAAGAACTGTTTGCCCGGGCTGGCCTTGAACTGTGATTCTCCTGATCTCTGCCTCCCAAGTAGCGAGAATTACTGGCTGAATTTGTACTCTTGTAGTTTAAAAGAAAGTATGGTGTATTTTAGATCAGTAAAGGTGTATTTTGTTAGTGGTTACTCAAAAAGCAAGTTCATTGAGGTTTGCAGAAAGCGATGGTGGGGGCAGAATTGAGGGGACCTCTTAGAAATCTCATAATTTCTGCTCTAATTGTGTTAACTTCCTGTTCAGAAATCTTCAGTGCCTATACATTGCCTATAAAATAAAATCTAAACTTAATCTTATTTTTGAATTTGACCTGAGCCTAAATTTACCACTTACTCTCCCAGATTTTCACAAGGCTGTCCTCAACAAACTACCACAAGTCTTGCTTTTGCCAGACTTGCTTTCTAACTTCTTGGACTTCCCTCCACTTTGCTGAACCTTGCCACTCCTTGAAGACTCAGTTGTCTTCTTTACAAAGGCTACTTTGTAAAACCTTTTCTCAACCCTTCAGCTAACAGCAAAAATTTTCCTATTCTACTTAGGAATTATTAGTATTTGATTCTTGATTCATATTGTCTTTCATTGGTAGTTTGTAAGTATGTATCTTTAAAAAAAAAGTCTACATTTTGAACTTTTGGTAGATAGGAAGGAGCATATATTGGTTATCCATGCTGCATGAAAAATTACTCCAAAACTTAGCAGCTTAAAGCAATATTTCTTATCTCACAAAGTTTTTGAGGGTCAGGAATTTGGGAGTGGCTTATTTGGGAAGTTCTGGCTCAGGATGTTTGATGAGGTTGCCATCTGTCAGCCAGCCAAGTTATGGTCACATGAAGGCTTGACTTAGGGAAGGGAGAATTTCTTCCAAGCTTGCTCAGATAGCTGTTGACAGGAGACCCCTCTGTGGAAAGCCACAGAGCTGCTCAAACTTGCAAAGTGAAGCTGTTTTTATTGAAACAATAACAAAAAGTGCTGCTTAAACATGACAACTGGCTTCCCACAGAGCAAATGATATGAGAGAGGCAGACACCAAGACAGAAGCACAGTAATCTCAGAAGCACAACCTAATCTCAGAAGTGAGTATACCTCTTCTCTTCTGTTCTCTTGATGACACAGGGATTGACCAGGGGTATAAATACCAGGAGATGAGAATCATAGGGCTACCCAGATCATATGTTACACTCCTATATTCCAGAGGTGTTCAATAAATACTTAGAACTCATTGTCTTTGAATTGGATCTAAATAGGTCAAAGAAACAGGCCAGACTATTACTGTGTTTTCAGTTTTCTCAGGAGCTATGTTTACTTGTGTTCTTGTTAACCAGCTAGAGCAGTGGACCTCAAAAGTAATTCCTGGACCTCTGGAGAGGAGGGCATTCTAAAAACCTATTCAAGAACTCTCTGCAGTCCAAATCTTTTTGTTTATTTTAAACTGTGAGTGCCTGACAAACACTGATTATAATAGTAAATACCACTACCTTGAGTGATGCTACAACTCCAGCATTTATACCTACCATTGCTTCTTTTGGAGCTTTAATTCAGGGCTTCTTGCTTGCAAAGCAGGTGCTCTACCACTTGAGCCACACATCCAGTCCAGTTTGCTCTGGTTATTTTGGTGATAAGGTCTTGAGAATTGTTTGCAAAGGCTGACCTTGAACCACAATCCTCCAGTTCTCAGCCTCTCAAACAGTTAGTATCATAGGTGTGAGCCACCGGTGCTGGCTACCCACCATTGCTTTTGTGTTGTGAGTGCCAGTGAAGAATATAAGGATGCTGGGTGTAGTGGTGTATGTGGGTAATCTCAACACTTGGGAGGCAGATGCAGGAGGATCAGAAGTTTGAAACAAGACTTTGTCTTAAGGGAAAAAAAGAAGTACTGTTACTACTGCTATCATATAAAAGCAGTTTTGAAAGGATCTCAAGAGTTCATAGACCACACTTCAGAACTGCTGGACTAAACTATAAATGAAGTTACAGGAGAACCATTAGGTTCATTATTTATTATTGAGAAAGGGATAACTTCACTTACTGACAGATAATTGGGGTGAGAAGTGGAGATAAGGTTTCCAAAGACTAGTCTTTGAGGCAGAGTTGTTTTAGAATCCACAGTGAGTGAATTTGAATGAAATTGGGTGTATTAATTTCATGGTAATATAATGAAATACTTGAGGAAATGAACTTTTTTCTTTTTTTTTTTTTTGGTGGTGGTGGTAGTACTAGAGTTTGAACTCAGGGCCTCACACTTGTCAGGCAGGCACTCTACTGCTTGAGCCACTCCACCAGACCAAAAATTAACTTTTGAAGAGAAAAAAAGTTTATTTAGTTCATAGGTCTGGAAATTCCAGAATGAGATTAGCAGGCCTGAACCTCATGACAGTGCATGGTGGAGCAAGCCGGGAAGTAGAGAGAGATAGAGAGACTGAGGTTCTTCAAAGGCATGCCTTCAGTGATCTAGATCTAAGGGCCTCTCACTAAGCCCCACCTCTTAAAGGTTCACAGAACCTCCTAATAGGGCCACTCTGGGGAGCCAAGCATCTTAACACATGGATCTTTTTGGGGAGAGGGAGATTACCATCCATATTCAAACCATAACACTGGGTTAAATAGAAAAATCTTATTATGAAAGATGAATAATTAGCTTAGCAACAGCTCAGCCTTTTTTTTTTTTTGTACTGGGGTTTGAACTCAGAGCCTCACACTGACTAGGCAGGTGCTCTGCCACTTGAACTATTATGCCAGCCTTTTTTTTTTTTTTTTGTATTGGGTATGTCTTTTTTGGTGGTATTGGGGTTTGAACTTGCTAGGCAGGTATTCTACCACTTGAGCCAGACCACCCCAGCCTTTGTGTCTCATTATTTCTTTTGGTCTGTCTCCCATTATTTTCTTCCATCTGTCTAGCTAACTGGCAAACTGAAAAGGACCTTACAGGGAAAGGAGCAGTTTTTAAGATGGATTGAAACAGAGTTCTTTAATTTTTTCTCTCAGTTCGTTCCTTCTCTTCTGTATCTATCCCTTGATGTCAGTTTTCTTTCTTATCTGCAATTCATGTTGAGCTCAAAGATTCACATTTCTAATTCTTTGCTTTTGTTACTATAGAGATACTAGATAGTTCATGTTCAGTCAGCTAAAAGTGGAACTCAGTAGTTCCCCCCCACCCCCAGTTTTTCTCCTTTCCTTAATTTAGCTAATGCCATTATCATTCTCTTAGATGAATTTTGGATTTATCCTGATTTCCTCTCCTCAGCAAGGTCCAAAATATTGATTCTGTTCTAGCTCCCTCATACCGTTTCATTTTTTCCCATTATCCTGTTCTCAGTCTAGTCATTATGTCTTCTCTAATCTGTTGTGGTACACTCCTCGCGCCTTGTAGTGCTGGGGAGTGAACTCGGGGCCTCAGAGCATGCATTCAACCACTGAACTGAGCTACACCCCCCACCCAGGATATGCTTCTAAAGGTCTTCTTGCCCTTCTCTCTTTATGTGAATCTGGATCAGACACTATTGTCTAAAACTGGGGACAGTGCTACCTTCTAGGCTTTTGGAAATGGGTGAAGTCATTATTTTTTGCTATTGTTATTTGTTTGTTCATTTCTACTGGAAAACACTGCAGTCAGTAGTAGGCAAGAGCCAGGGATGCTAAATGTACTGCAGTGAGTAGGATGGTTGATTCTGTACATGAAGAATGAAAAGAATTGTCCTGGCCAGAATGGCAGGAGCCCTTGTCAGGACACGCCATGCTTTATTGAGCCACACAAGCCTGCAGCCTCCACCTTATGTCTTAAGCGTCCCTAATTTATGACTTTGCTTGGAAACTGTGATTTCCTTCTCCTTCTCCTTCCTTTTCTCTCCTGTATCTTTTTCATCCCTATAATTTTTTTGCCCTTATTAATTAAAAGTGTCCTATGTATATATAAAGTGTCATTTTATATATAAATATATGTCAGAGGCAAAGCCAAAAGCCACATTATTCACAGTTATCCTCAAGTTCCCACCTTGGAGATTAAGCTCTTCTCTGCCTGTATTCCCCTAGTACACTGTGCACACCTTCCTTGTGTTTATGACCATCTGTTTTTGCTGTTATTATCTATGTTATTAAGAAAGACTGCATCAGTAAAGGAAAGAATTTTGAGCTTGGGAATGAAGTTTGGCCCCTCTGACCCACAAGTTCTGCATTTGTAAAATGTATGTGACAAATTTTATTTATGTGACAGGGTTACTGAGAAATGTAGTTGAGGACATTCTTCTAAAAACATGTTTTAAGCTGTGTAATGGTGGGTTAATAGTGGTGTCTCTCCTCCACAGCATTGTTGCCATTTGAGGACAGATAGGCTCCATGTCGTAGACATCTTGTACTTGTTTGTAGTACTCAGTTAATAGCTGAAACCAGTAAAATTTAATATCTCTAAAGATTTGTATACTTAAACACAACAAAGAATAAATATAGTAGTTTTTCCTATGTAAGAAAAACTCTAGGACAAAAAAGGTAGGTGAAGCAAAAAGCCTAATTCTCCTGGGTGGTCTTTTTTTTTTTTTTTTTTTTTTTTTGTGAGTTAGTGCATGTCTAATCAGGCCAGTCTTAATTCATATGGAATATCCTTTCCAGGTTCATTGACCCCTGCCCTCCCCCCTCAAAATCATGCTTTGGAAAATTTTTTTGTATTTAGGGAGTTCAGGGAGTTCCACATGCTGTCAATTCTCCTGTAGGAGCCGGCAGGCCCAGGCTGGATAACCTGTTCCTGAGTTAGGTAATTATAGACTTTATCAAATATGTTCTGGCTTGTAGAATTGAGACCAGGACAGCATAGTCTCTTTAAGCATGGGATAAATGCCTCAGGCCCTTTCCCTGGAGACAAGTGGGGAAACAAAAAAGAATTTAACATCTGAAAGTCCAAAAATTGGAATGTGCCATTTGTTCAGGAAATGCTCCAAGCACCATGGAAATAGGAAATTACAGAAAGATCTTGCACTTGAGATGATTGAAGTATAGAAAAGTATTCTGAACCCTGAAGAGCTGTTTACTTGCTGTGTGTAATTAAATCATGAATATTTGACTTGTGTTTAAATAGGGATTATTAGATAGTAATTTGAGATATGTATCTTGTAATACTTATTCATGGAACAATCAAACCCACTTCAGTTAGAATAAACAGTCTCAATACTGTACTGTGAGCCATAACTTTTTAATTTTTAATTTTATTTTCTATTTTTTGCCATGATGGAGATTAAACCCAGGCCTTGCCACATGCTAGGCAAGTACTACTATAGCACATATGCCTCCCACCCTTGGTGTTTTTAATACAGCATCTTGGTATGAAACTTAGGCTGGTCTCCCACCTCATGTTCCTCCTTCCCTCTGCCTCCTCAGTGCTGGGATTACAGACATGTACACCACACCTTCCCTGTCAACCATAACTTTTGTATAACACATTCCAGTGGTCTAGATACTCCAAAAGGAAAACCTTAAATTTGGGTAGAAAGCTTGAGAAGAAAGGAAATGACTATTTGAACACTGGGAATTGCTCAAATTCTTAATTTTTTCTGAAAGGCCTATTTGAACTTGTTGATTATTCCCACTACGATCAATGTCTAGGTGTTTTAAATAAAAAGGAGCAGGAAGCAAAAGTTCAGCAGGGTGCTTAAGATAGTTGAGTGTGTTGTTGATAACTTTCTCAGTATCATATCTGAGTTCTAAACATAGTTCCCTAAACTGACTTCCTTCCTTTTCCAGCTTAATACTTGACTTTGGTCAATAAAAGTAATTGTGGGATAGTGAAAGTGCTGTTGAAATGAAATGACAATGAATGTGCAATGAAAGGACACACTCCTATAATTCCAGCTATTCTGGAAGTAGAGATAGGAGGATTGAAGTTAGTGTGAGACCCTGTCTGGAAAAAACAAAACAAAAGGGACTGAGGGGCATGGCTCAAGAGATAGAATACTTGCCTAGCAAGTATTGAGGCCCTGAGTTCAATCCCTAATACCTCAAAACACACACACACACACACACACACACACACACACACACACACACAGTTGTGTATGAAACTTATCTTACTAGTCTTACTAGTTTTCACATTTGAGGCTGTCCCTTCCTCTTCCAGAAACCTTTGTTTTTTAAAAGAGAAGCAGAAAAATATGGATTGCCCTATTTTAGTATAGGATTAAAATACATGTGGTAAAGACCTCATGGGGCCCAGCTGCTTGGCTGCGTTTTCAAGCCAAATAGAGAAGAAGAATGCTTGCTATCTCTTTGAGAAATAAAGAATCTATGCTCTTTTGCTAAATGAAGGGAGCAGCTAAGAGTTTATATCTGAGGAACAAGGAGACATAAACTAGCCCTTGACTCATAGTTTTGAAATGATGGATTTATCTTATTAAGCAACATTATAATGGACACTAATGAAGGTTTCAGAAGCCAGAGAACATTGCTAATTTTTGTCCTGAAGGTCTGGATTATTAAAAGGAGAAGAGTATTTTCTGCCTAGTACTGGTTGGCTCAGTTCAAAATTGCCGCATTTGTTGGGGTTTTTAGTTCAAGATAGGTTGAAGGGCACCAAGAGATCTCCAGTTGATCTCCATTAATGGAGATCAAAATGTGGCTCTAGTAATTACCCTTTTTTTTTGTCTGTTGTCCTCTAACTTAATCCTTCTTATTTGCAGTTCTTAGCAAATCTGAAATGAGCAATGGAATTTTATCAGACTCTACTTTATTAAGTAGAGTTTCTTGTTGAGATGTGGATTAAAAAAAACTCACTTAGATATAGACTCAAAGTTATTTTTAAAGGTAGTCAGTGGAAGATGTTAGACCACTTAAGCCTTATGTATCATTGTACATGAGTTTTGGGCATATGGTACATATTTTACGAGTGTGAGCCTATTGATTATTAGATAAGGCTTTCTTTCTTCACATCTTGTTTTCTCTAGTTTCTTTGGTAATTGAAAAGCCTGAAGTTCTATTATTGTACAATGTCAGCTGTCAGATAATTTGAGTTCATTTCACTGACTGAGATTACTCAGTCATCAGTCAACTGATGAAACACACTGTTTTTTACTGTCTCATTTGCTCTTTTGACTTGCCTTCCTAATGTAGAGATTACTAATGGGCCTAACATGGGGGGTTGAGTTAAGAAAAAGAAGAGGTTACTGCCAGAGCTAGTGTATATCACAAAGGTAATTATATCATGGCATTGGATGAGTCAATAGTAGCATTTCTCTTTTCTGGACTTGAGTAAGTGGTGTCATAGTTCAGAACAGATCTTAAAAATAGTCATGTGCGAAACTGAACTACAAATAGCTTGGTGATCACTGAAGTCAAGCACTGGTGCACTGAAGCCCTGGATTTCTTTTCCCTTTGTCCTTCCTTTTACATGAAAATGGAAAGGTCTTTTTCCCTTCTGGCATTCATGAAGTAGGCAAAATGGAAAGCTTTGCCTAGGTCTTTTCCTGAAATCTAAGATGGTTAATGCAAGGCTGTGAGGAGTATGGTCAGTTTTTCCAAAGACTAGGATTCCAGTGAGCCGCCAGTGAGAGGCAGAGTAGCAAAGCTCAGCTCTCAGCCTCATGACTGTATACTCTGGAGTCAGTCCTGGTTTTAGAGCAATAGCTCTTTGCTTCTTTTTCTAAGGAATTGTGCTCAGTCATGTGTATATAATCACCTAATTTAAAAAGGCTCTTGTCTGGGACTTTGGTACTTTTTAAATGTTTCTTACCATGCTAATTTTGTAGTAAACAACAGCCACCATGTGTTGGTAGCTTTGGCTACACTTAGGGACCTAATAACTTCCATGCTTTTTCTTTCAGCTGCTTTGGGACCAGTTCAAAGCCATACTACTAAGTTCCCCTGGCCGTACTTTGGAATTCATTAAAACTGTTGTTTTAGTCACATTAGTCTTTATGTGTGATTTTCATGGCATTGATCAAAATTGTTTTCACATTTGTTGTCATTGTGTTTCATAGAGATTTGTGATACAGTTGTGTTTCAATTTGTGCTTCAGTTTTCATTTGGAAATATAAAATGACTGGAAGAGAGGAATGAGGATAGAAAACATCTGTTAGCATCATCTTTGCCTTGCCCTAGAGGACAGTGAAGCAAATTTAGACTAATTATGTAGCTGTGCTGAAATTTTACTCATTTAACACACTTGATCTGAGTTCTTGTGTGCTTGCTGTGTTTATACTATCTTGCTTAATGACATCATTGTCAATTTGCTTAGAATGCTCAGAAATGAAATTTTCATAGCTTTTTGTGCTTTATTTTAAAAATGATGTGATATAGATTAACTTGAAGAGGCTAATTATAGAAATTTGGTACCTGGTAACAGAGTTGCTGAATGTATAGAATATTTGAGTTTTGAAAAATATGGGCTATGGCAAAGGTGTTGGAGGGGCCTCAATTAAAGTACAGTTACTTACTTGTTTTCCCTCCTTAGGTGCATGCTATTATGATGCAAATCAGTCTATGTATGTGTTTGGAGGCTGTACCCAGAGCAGCTGCAATGCTGCCTTCAATGACCTCTGGAGACTTGATCTAAATAGCAAAGAGTGGATTCGACCTTTGGCTTCAGGTAAGAGATGAAATACTGATCTTTGTCTTTTTTTTTTGCAGTACTAGGGTTTGAACTCAGGGCCTCAGCACTCTACCATGTGAGCCACTCCGCCAGCCTTTTTTTTGTTGGGTATTTTCAAGATAGGGTCTAGCAAACTGTTTGCCCAGGCTGGCCTCCTTGTCTCTGCCTCCTAAGTAACCGTGAGCCATTGTCACCCAGTGATCTTTGCCTTCTTGATCTCTTTTTGGTGTTGGTCTCAAGCATAGGTTACTGGTATTTTGTTAAATTTGCTGTGTAAAAATGCTAAGTAAAATGTTCATCTGCATTCCAAAAAAATTACACTTTACCATTAGTATTACTTTTGGTGCCCTGCCAAAATCATTATGCTGCTGTGTGAATTCATCTGTGTGGTTTTCTCAAGTACTTGTACAGGTGTGATGTGCTGTTTGGAATGAAGTTGAGGTAAGAGCAGAAACGTGGAGTCGTGAGAACTGTAAGTGAGTGACAGAAGCTATTGTCCCAGGACTAAGGTCTCTGAATATCTTTTGTTCTTGCCAGCTCACATATTTGGAGAGTGTATGGGACATGCCTCTGCTAGTTACTCTTAACAACTCAGGCATGTGGGAAGATTCCATAGTAAGTGCACTCCTGTTCTGCCCCAGTATTCCAAAATTCTGGCAGAAAAAAACTAGATTATTTTCTTCTTTTTGATTTAACTTTTCCTGGGTAAGGGAAATAAATAAAAACACAGTTGCTTTGCACTGTCTCAAACTAGTGCTGCCTCACCCAGATCTATAATTAGAATGTAGTTTTAGAGGGGAAGAAACTGAGCTTTCTGACCCACCCAACCCACCCTGCCCCGGCACTGAGGTTTGAACTCAGGGCCGCATGCTTGCTAGGCAGACGCTCTTACCGCTTGAGACACTCGGTCAGCCTGACATGACTACTTAAAAAAAAAAAAAAAAAAGGTTTAATAGAGTCCTGTGAGATTCTCATTTAGGCAGAGATCCCATGAGAAGATTCCCCGAGGGAATGTTTCTGTGTGCTGTCATAAATCCTGACTAAAATCAGTTCCTAACTGAAACACCAGTGAGTCTTTTGAAACAAAACACAGTTGTTTGTGTGTCGGTGTGCCTGACTCACCCACCCATTTTAGTGCATGGGGGTAGTTAGTGGGGGGGGGACAAGGTGCCTGAGGGGAGGGTGCTATCCTTACCTTTTGATGCTAGTTATGGGGTGGTGATCTTGCAGCATTTGAAGGTGTGCGAGCATTGACTCCATTTCAGAGCAGCCTTGATTGTTCCAGTTACAAAATAACTAGTAGTGTACCCTTTACTACTACTAATACTAGTTAGTACTCCTCCGTTTTGTGACAGTGCTTTAGGCCCTTGATAAATTGGGCATGGAGGTTGCTCTTTCTTGTTTAGTTCAATCTTCAAAAGTACAACTGTTTGGCTAGGGCTGTGAAATGTTGGCAAGTTGGACTAGGTGTTGGCAGAAAGATGAGTGGACTTGCTAGAGGAAAAGCGCTTGCTCATGGTTTGGTATAGACACCCAGTTTTAGCCTGGGTATTTGAGAAGGTGCAGTTGTGGGTAATTAGGGTAAACGAGGGGCAGGAACAATGAGAGATTCTATTTGAAACATGTTAAATTTGAGGTGCCTAATAAGGTATCCAGGTGGGCAAGTAGGTATTTGTTGTTGAGGGGAGGCACACAGGCTAGAGATGACCATGAAGGGATCATTAGCTTATAGATGGATTTAAAGCCAGGCGACCAAGGGAGTGAGTGAAATCCAGGGTGCCCCAGAATTTAGAATTCAGGGTACCAAAAAAGGAGAACTCAAAGTAGAACACCAAGAAAATGTGGCATCTAAAAAGCTCCATACTTGGAAGGTGTTTCCAAGAGAACAGGACGTGATCAACCCTGTATGTCAATTGTAGCAAAGTGGTCAAGTTATATGAGGTTCAAGAATTGGTAAGTCCAGCATATTGGATGAGTGGTAAGGATAAAAGTCTATTTGGAGTAGTTTTAAGAGAACAAAGAGTTGAATACAGTATAAACAATACTTTTACCTATTTAGAGGCATTTTGCTGTAAGGATCAGCAAAGAAATGAGGTGCTATGTGGAGGTGAATGTAGAATTGAGAGGTTAGTATGTGTGAATGTTTTGCTGGGGACTGAAACCAGGGCCTTGCTTTTCTACTGAGCTACATCCCCAGCATATCCCCAGCACCCACCCCTTCTTTCTTTCTTTTTTTTTTTTTTTTTTTTTCTGGTGGTACTGTGGTTTGAACTCAGCTTCACACTTGCTAAGCAGACACACTAGTACTTGAGCCATTCTGCCAGCCCTTTTTGGATTGGGTATTTTCAAGATAGGGTCTCACAAATTACTTGCTTTGGGCTGGCTTGAGCTATGATCCTCCTGATCTCCACTTCCCAGATAATTAGGATTACAGGCATGAGCCACCAGCACCTGCCCTCCTTTTTTTTTTTTAAGACAACAGATTTTGTAGCATGTTTATGTGTTGATGGGATGATCTTCTAGAGGAAGGAGCTAATTTGGATAAAGGGGAGGGACAATTGTTTGAGCAGTGCTTTTGAATAGTGACAAAGGGAGAGTCAAATGAAGGGGTTGGTGGACTGGAGATGGGAACACTGACTGTGTATAGGAACTAGAGGGAATATATGACCACAGATGCTGGGAGTGAGACCTAGTATAAGTCCTCTACTGATTGTTTTATCACTCAGATAAAATAATTGAGAGTGGAACAGAAGCCATTGGGAGTCCTGGCCAGTGATTATGAATGTACAATTGTGTACATAGTTCTGGTCTGTGCCAAGTAGTTCCAGGAAGTTGAATGTTCAGGTAACACCGTAATTCTTTTTTTTTTTTTTTTTCTTTTATTCATATGTACATAACAATGTTTGGGTCATTTAATACCGTAATTCTTAATCAGGTTTGGCTCAGCCTATGTTCAATTTCCAAAGTAAATAAGCCATTCTTTGAACAGGTACTTTCTTTTTTTTGCCGGCACTGGGGTTTGAACTAACAAATACTTTGAAGAACTAATGTTTAAACCACAGTTTATGAAATAAATTACCTTTTATTCAAACTGAGACTAATTTTGGCATCCGTTTAATGACTAGCCATCATAAGTCACACAGACTTTTTCTGCTACTTTAAGATAAATTATTTTAAAGTAGAAATTTTACATTTAAAATTTGAATGTTCTGATTTTAAAAGTTTCTTTTGTACATCCATGTACAAAAGGGGAGCAAATTTCAAGGTTTTGGGGACAAATTTCCACAATTAGAGCAGTCTATAACCTATATTCAAATAAATTTGAAAATCTAAAAGAAATGGACAGATTTCTAGATATATATGATCATCCAAAACTGAACCAAGAGGAAATTAATCACCTGAATAGACCTATAACACAAAATGAAATTGAAGCAGCAATCAAGAGTCTCCCCAAAAAGAAAAGTCCAGGACCTGATGGATTCTCTGCTGAATTCTATCAGACCTTTAAAGAAGAACTGATACCAACCCTCCTTAAACTGTTCCATGAAATAGAAAGGGAAGGAAAACTGCCAAACACATTTTATGAAGCCAGTATTACACTTATCCCAAAACCAGGCAAAGACACCTCCAAAAAGGAGAACTATAGGCCAATCTCCTTAATGAACATTGATGCAAAAATCCTCAACAAAATAATGGCAAACCGAATTCAGCAACACATCAAAAAGATTATTCACCACGACCAAGTAGGCTTCATCCCAGGGATGCAGGGGTGGTTCAACATACGAAAATCAATAAACGTAATAAACCACATTAACAGAAGCAAAGACAAAAACCACTTGATCATCTCAATAGATGCAGAAAAAGCCTTTGATAAGTTCCAACATCATTTCATGATAAAAGCTCTAAGAAAAGTAGGAATAGAAGGAAAGTTCCTCAACATTATAAAAGCTATATATGACAAACCTACAGCCAGCATTATACTTAATGGAGAAAAACTGAAACCATTCCCTCTAAAATCAGGAACCAGACAAGGATGCCCACTATCTCCACTCCTATTCAACATAGTACTAGCCAAGCAATTAGGCAAGAAGAAGGAATAAAAGGAATACAAATAGGTAAAGAAACTGTCAAAATATCCCTATTTGCAGACGACATGATCCTATACATTAAAGACCCAAAAAACTCTACTCAGAAGCTTCTAGACATCATCAACATCTATAGCAAGGTAGCAGGATATAAAATCAACATAGAAAAATCATTAGCATTTCTATACACTAACAATGAGCAAACTGAAAAAGAATGTATGAAAACAATTCCATTTACAATAGCCTCAAAAAAAATCAAATACCTAGGTGTAAACCTAACAAAAGATGTGAAAGACCTCTACAAGGAAAACTATACACTTCTGAAGAAAGAGATTGAGGAAGACTATAGAAAGTGGAGAGATCTCCCATGCTCATGGATTGCTAGAATCAACATAGTAAAAATGTCGATACTCCCAAAAGTAATCTACATGTTTAATGCAATTCCCATCAAAATTCCAATGACATTCATTAAAGAGATTGAAAAATCTACTGTTAAATTTATATGGAAACACAAGAGGCCACAATAGCCAAGGCAATACTCAGTCAAAAGAACAATGCAGGGGTATCACAATACCTGACTTCAAACTATATTACAAAGCAATAACAATAAAAACAGCATGGTACTGGCACAAAAACAGACATGAAGACCAGTGGAACAGAATAGAGGACCCAGATATGAAGCCACACAACTATAAGCAACTTATCTTTGACAAAGGAGCTAAAAATATACGATGGAGAAATAGCAGCCTCTTCAACAAAAACTGCTGGGAAAACTGGTTAGCAGTCTGCAAAAAACTGAAACTAGATCCATGTATATCACCCTATACCAAGATTAACTCAAAATGGATCAAGGATCTTAATATCAGACCCCAAACTCTTAAGTTGATACAAGAAAGAGTAGGAAATACTCTG